CAACCTGATCCTCAAACACCTTCAATCCGCTCACTAATAGTAATTTTACCTCCTATGATACGCCTGTCCTCGCCTCTCTCGTCAACATCCCTACCCTGCATCGGGCTCCCCGGTGGCCTGAAGGAAGACAGCTCACCGCCCCAAGCTCCCAAGGTCCATGAGGCCCCATGAGGTCAAGCTCTCTGCGTCACACCAACGCTAACCCACTCCTGGGATCCCTTCTGAAGGAGTCCAACGCCTTCTTCCGACACAGTGCGGATGGATGGTGGGGACGAGGACTGCGCAGTGCTGGTGCTGGCCCTGCCTTTGCCAGCTTCCAGGTGTGCTGTGCCTCCGGCAGGCACGCAACACACACCCTCGCCCCCACCCTACAAAAAAACCTTTATTTGGAGGCTTGCAATACAACTCTCTCATCCTTTGGAGCGCTCTGAAAGGAAAAACAGTATTGCTTCAGAAACCAGAGGAGGTCTGGGGTAAAGGCGCTGGATCATGACCATAGGCAGCTCCGAAGGGACTGGCTCAGGCCAGCATGGCCATGTGCCAACTCACACCAACTGGCCTGTCTCATGGGGTGACAGCAAAACCAATGCCCATTTGTCCTCTTTGTGGCCACCGAGTATTTGTTTTGGGGGGATATTGATCTAGCTCTTCGTGGTCAAAACAAGAGAAAACTTTGGAGACAACCCTGCTTGGGCACCCAAGGCTTCTGGTAGTGAAGACCAAGCCCTGAAGAAGAAACAACAAACAAGCAACCCCCAAATCCCACCAAAACAAGTGAAACTATAAAAAGAAACAACAGTTATGAAGTGAGGAAACTCTGAGAAAAAGATAGGATAATTGAAAGGGGGGGGGGGGGGACGGGGAGACTCAAATAACTACGTTACAACTTCCACTATTTCTGTCACTAACGGAAAACTAATTTTCTCATTTTCCCTGTAATGCCGGAATGTAACGTAATGTAGAGTCTGCAGACTTGCCTGCACACATTGCTTCCCTGCAGTTTAAATGCCACAATAGAGTTAAAAATAACTTAAGTTATACTGGCATAACTCCCCCATATAAAAACATTTTCATTTCCGAATAAAATTGTCCTTTTCAGGTAATTTTCAACAATTTCTCCAGTGACACCAGAACAGACCACTCTTACACTGGAATAAAATATGCCTCTGAGAAATTATACTATTAGCAGTTCAGTTTAAAACCTATCTTCGATCAGTATAATTTTCCCAAATCCTGAAGAAGTGAACATGCAGCACTTAAGTGATACATCTAATATTCAAGAGCACGCAATACTATTCCGCTCATATTTACAGGCTGTTAACATCACAGAGAGAATTACTTAACGATGAGAACGTAGACTTGAAATAATATGGTGAAACAAAGAAATGGAAAAATTTAGGCCAAAGATCAGGCGAAGAAAAATCTCACCATCAAACTTTGTGGAAAAGACTCCAGAAGATCGAAGTGGAAGGCCAAGTTCTTAGAGTATCTCTAGCCATAAACCACAAAAAAAAAAAAAAAAGCAGAAAACATGTACTGGCAAGAAGACGGTCTGGATGATCTAATGCACTTTCCATCTCTAACATCTATGATTCTGTAATTCCGTAGGAGCGCTTAGCAGAGGGCTGGCAAACTTTTGTAGCAACTCGATCGTCTGATTACTGTGTGATAATCGAAGTGTTCAATTAAAAGGAGGTCCTTGTAGCTGGGTGTTGTAGCTATGCCATGCCACTCTCGTTCAAAGTTGTGCATTATGTTGCCAGTGGAGAGCCTGATCTGAATGGCAGGCGTGCAGTAATTACGGAGTTGTGGGTAGCTCTCCTAAATAGGCAAAACAGAATTTAAGTAATTAAAGAGACAATCATCATCTTTCTTGCAAAATGCCTGGGGTCAACTTTTGACAGCGGGTTTGATAATACAGAGTTCAACTTTGTCAACATTTATGCATGCAAATAACTTCACTCATACATGCAAGTAAGCGTTAGTGTGGTTGGATCTATACTATACAGCATTTTTAACTATTTACTCTTGATTTGTGCACTGAGAAAATCCTCCCTTAGGGTAAAATACCAGATTGTTTCTCAGATCACGTGCTTTGTTTGCTATTTTCAAGTTATTAGGTAAGTGTACACGCAGAAAGAAGAAAGTGCAAGAGGACATATGGCACGAGCACAGCTTTTATGTTTAAAGCATGTGTATGAGAAAAATAGATTGTAACAATAAGAAGTTTAAGAATCGGGAAGATTATGAGAAAAATGCAGAAGCAGCAAAAAAACTCCAAAGCAGAATTGGGGAAACAGAAGAACAATTTGTGATGCTGTTTGAAAAACATGCCAAATCGATAAATGCCATGAGCCTATCAGGCTCTATAAATACTCGTTCTATACTATTTATTTACATTGATGACTACAAATTTTAGTAAGGGACAGACTCCTCTTTGCCACCGTACGACGGTATTAACCATCTTAAGTACTTAGGCTCTGAACAGAAAATGGAAATACAGAAGGAGTACATTGACTACTCATTGTACACAGATGCTTAAGTTAAACTTTGACACCTAAAATCCGGATGCCAAAGGAAAACAGGGAAGACTAAAAATCAACAGATTGCTTGTTTTGGAGAACAAGGTTAAGTTAGCTCTTGCTTGA